TACTTACTACTTACTACTTGCTACTTACTACTTACTACTTGCTACTTCCTACTTACTACTTGCTACTTCCTACTTACTACTTGCTACTTGCTACTTAAAACTTGCTACTTACTACTTACTACTTACTAGCTACTTACTACTCACTACTCACTACTCCCTACTACCTACTACCTACTACCTACTACCTACTACCTACTACCTACTACCTACTACCTACTACTACTACTACTACTACTACTACTACTACTACAAGTACCAACTACTACCATGCAGCACCAAACGACCACTACTAGTACTTCTGCAAGAAGCCAAAAGGCCACAACAGTCCAAGTCACGCAGGGTGGTCTCCGGCATCGCGTTCTACGCGTTTTACCCCTTTTTGCACAAAAAGCGTTGGTTGGAGGGTCTCCTCCGGAGTTCTAATTCTGCATGTCCAAATAGATCACTGAGGAGACAGTGGATTATCACTAAACTCTAAGGGTCATTGAGAAATTGGGAGACGCCTTGATGATTCTTGATGATCAACTGACAGTGGTCATCAATTTCTTGTATTGGGGTGTAGCCGCAGCCGTGGGCCCCAAACGCAAACAATACATTGGTCCCCTTACTTTTTTTTAAGAAACGGTGGGTCATACCTGATTCATCGATGCTGGAAGAGGACATTGGACTTGGATCCACTCAACAGCTTCCATTGGCGTGTCCGCAATATTTTTTTGAACGCCTTGCGCGTGTCGCCCGGCGCACCAGGCATCGAGGGTGTATCGGAGCACTGTGCCAGGCAGGATCCAGGCAAAGCGACAGAACATGAAAAGCACGGCTCCAAGACCTGCCCAAACCGAGAGCCAAGCCTGCTGAACTCATCCCATCCCTGCTGAACTCGTTCCGGACAGGGCCTCCATCACTGTGATCATCCTTTACCAACTGTTGCTGGCAATGGGTTACACCCTGTCATAGTTTGATTGAAACATCCTTCACCTGGAACCACCCCTGTCTGGGAGCGCCCGGCGGCGAAGAAGCCAAGCCATCCAGTGGTAGATTGCCTTGATTCGTCGAAGATGAGCCGGCACCTGGGCAATGAGTCTTTGTGAGAGCTTCTTTATGGAAACTGATGAAATACTCGGAAAGACACAAAAACAAAGAATATTCCAGCTTGTGAATATCAATGATATTCTTGTTTATCAGCTTCTGTTTACTCAGAATATCAATCTTGCTATACCATGAAACTGAAACTACACATAGACCTTAGAACAGAATAGAATCATGCCCCCAAGCTCCCCACACTATGAGCAAACGTTGATTTGCTATTCCAAACGTTGCACAGAGAACACAACTTCAAAAGCAACTCTCACAAAACACATGTTACGCCATGCTTCTCATGCAGTCACCCCTCAACAATTCAGGGCCGTAAGCCCCACCCCCTTTTCCTCTGCTCGCCTTGACATTAGAATTGGGCCAGTCGAGGTTCGTCAGGCGAGGCTCGCCACTTTTAGATTGCGACAGACTACTCAGCTGCACACGACAGCGCACAGAAGCGCCTTACTGCTCCAGTTCCGCAGTTTCTTAGGCTTTACATGACCCGTTTGTTTGACCGTCACGTGGAATATGAATTTAGCATAATTTAGCCAATCATGTTCTAAGTGTAGGCTTGGGGGCATTCTTTGTAACTTTGGAGTTCCGGCTGCATGTACTGTCTTGCCTACAGTACATACGGTCTCTTCGAACAGTCGAACATGATGTCTAGGTTGCGTTACGAGAAACACAATATTGGAGGGCATGAAACGAAAGAGGAGAGCGAACCTCTTTTTTGCTTCACCATATTGTCCCAGCATGTCACAGCCATATTTGCCCAACATGAACAACCCCCCAAAAAAAACACCAAGAGTCTTACGTCACTGTTCGTCAAATCTATTCAGATATCACGTATCTTCAAACTCCAAACAATGTCAGTTTTGGGTTGAAAGCGCATGAATTGTGTTTACAAATATACCTCTCCCCTTCAATCTGCATAACTCCGACCTACCAACGACGTCGAAAAATCATTGTATATATATATACACTGTATACTGCATACTAATAATAATGCTACATATTAATGGTGACCACTCAACCCGCGACTTGCAGCCTGAAGCAGGATGCCGCCGCGCATGCCACAAAATCAGTGGGTCATGCACAGCATCACATGCTTACAATTTCCTAAATTTGCTGCACGTCTGGCAGCTCAACATCTCCTTGTCACCACCAGAAGTCACCAAACGACAAATGATGACAAATGAACAGTGTTCTTGCAGCAATCCTGTTTACCATCTGTTCATGCTATGGTTCCTTTGGGATGATGGCGTTTTTCGGTACACTTCGTCTCTCACTTTGGAGTGAAATCAGCCAGCGAGGCCTTATCTACATACCAAGTAGTTGAAGCTGCTTTTACAAGAGCAGCAGGACAGTCATGAGCTTCAAAATCACCTGGCAACGCTGCACTGCTGCACACATCCAGAAATCCGGTGAACAGGTTGCAGAAGACGAAACGAACGGTCCGAACTATAACCAGAATTCTTCGAGGATCAAAGCATGCCTGAGTCAAGCCCATGGACATAATGCGATGCGTTTCTGGCACCTCACTGTCACTCCCCCACTCTTCCCGCGCCTATGACCAACAAGTCGTAAAGTGCAAAATCGTGCAAAACATGTCTTGAGGATTCTTGAGGTATAGTACTACAAGTAGTACTTAGTACAGTACGGCATGTCGTTTCTCCGGGCGGCCAGGCGGCCCTTCCACATACCGTTTGCTCCGGAGGTTCCACTGTTGGTCTCATCCAACATGACACCGTCGGTCCAACATGACATGGAGTTCAGTCAGGACTGGGACCTAATGTTAGTCACCACAAAAAACACAACAACTCAAGGAGGTTAAAGACCAGGTTTGGACCTGGGTCAGACTGAACTTGTAGGGTGGGGTATGGCTTAATATGTAGTTCTGTGGGTATGGTTCGAATGTCTGCCAAACCATCTGACCCTAGCGCGGCCAAGGCCGAACACATCGATCCACGGCTGACCTGAGAGGGCTCGGCGAACTGCATCCTTCTTCTTCTCGCCGGTGCCTGTGGCTGATGGGAGGTGTGTCCACCGTGCGAAGCTCGGTGAAACGGCAGATCCACAACGACTTCTGCAGAACTGCTCGGAGCCTGCACATGATCTTGTGATATCAGTACTTCACCTGTAGCGATCACACATCATATCCCATTGAATGCGTTCCATGTTGTTCCATCAAGTAACCAGGCCGTTTTTGGGTTGATGTCTCAAGTCGACGTCTTTCGTCTCTCCGACCAGTCTCGTTCGCCACCGTTCGTGGCAAGCGGCATGCGAGAATGACCTTCTTGGACGCACACATCACATCCATCGAGATGGCAATCCTCAGATCATCTCAGATCACAAGCCGCTTAGCCTTTCGCGCGAAAAGCGTGAGGTTGGGCTTTGAGGGCATCCAAATGCCCCCAAACGTAAGTGAGGATAGCTACGATCTGGTCCAAAGGAGCCCCTTTTGGATGCCCAAAGTCATTCACAGCGATGACCGTCGTGCAACGATTAACATTCCAACAAAAAATGAGCGGTTCTGCCGGCCAAGGCTCTGGTTTTTTCCAGCTTTGTGGATTCCAAAGGTCACCGTGCCATCCCCTGTGGCCTTAATATGATCGCTCTTGGGGTGCAAAGAACCGCAATGTCCATCATCTCCAACGCCCAGCAGCAAGAGATCCTCAACGCTCAACGGACGGTAGACTGGAGGGTCTTCCACCGGTTCCAGCGGTTCCGGCGGCGTCCGGGAAAGAGAAAGCGGGAAGAGGATGGAAGAGGTAGAACAACCAAGGCTTGTCCACGGCCCCGCATGGAAACCCCTGCGATATTACGTACATTTACGTACAATTTGAAGAGTGCCATGATTTGGTCCAAATGCAGAGACGTTGGTGCTTTTGTGGGAGGTACCACCTGTCGCTTTGGCTTCGTATGTGGGCCACCAAAAATATGTGGGTATTATGTGGGTCTCTGGGAAGAAAAGGTTCATTTTGAGGAGGGGGCCGGCGGAAGCGACGTGCATCTGTTTTCAGCTAAACAAAGCATCCAACCTCCATCCACCAATCCGAAAAATGAGCGCCACGGGTCTCGCGAGCGGGCACGTTGTCTGAAACCTGCCTGTTTGCCCGGCAGGTATCTTTAGCAAACTGAAGTTTATTGGTTGGCCTCTACGAAGGAAACATAAGGAAACTCTATTCAAGACGCACAGAGTCCACACATTGAGAACATGGTGTGACAGGGTGTGGGCACATACAACATAATACAAAAAAACAATACAAGACTCTTGATGGAGGCTGGGCAAACAGCGGCAAACACACCACACGAGCAATGCGGAGAAGCGCGACACACAGATTTACCACAAGAAACAAGAGCAACGTTGCTAGCCCTTTCAAGTCACCTTCGACCTTCGATGCTAACAATGCTTCGATGCTAACAGTTGGATCAAGGGTCACTTCACTGAGCAAAGAAATCCAAAGCAGAATCATCGTAAACCCAAGGATCGGCCGAAAAGAGTTCAGGTGGAAAAGACCGGCTGCAACGACACAACAAGAGAACCAGACGAAACGAACAAACAAAGGCGCTGTGAGCTGCAGGTGAAAAGGCGGCTGCCGGTGCACAGTCCTCAAACATGAAAAAGAAGCAACCAAATGGCGGTAAATGGCGCGGGCTTCCAAGTGGCGTCGTCGTCTTCCATGGATGCTTCGTTTTGGTGCGGAAACGGGTGAGTCTTCGACCAGAGTCCATGGACCGCTTCTTCCAACCACCCACCACACCGCTCCGAACGGACCACCCACCGGTCTATATCCATCCGATTTGGTTTCGTCCCATCATCGGTCCAATTGGACATCTATTGGGACACAATATATTTGCGACGGTTCAATATCTATCATATATATATATATACATGTAAAATCATATAATGTTATCATGGTGTTCTATCGTAGCCACATAATATCAATATCTCAGCCACATACATGTAATGTCATAAAGCGCGACTTGCGAATCTGTCCATGCCACAGCCCAGATCTATCATACATGTAATATGATATGAATATAATGTGATCATGGTGTTCTATCTTAGAAGAAGCTATGTGCAATAGATCAGCAAGCCCTTGGACGTACCGTTGTTCCCATGCAAGAACAGGCTAGTCACCAAATGTCACCAAAACCACAATCAGCCAAATCCAATCAAATTATATATAATTATCCAAGAGTCAAAGGATGGCATAGGCCCTGCGTTGTCAATGGCTGGATGGTTCTTCAACAAACACGTATATGCCGCCGCTGCCTCCTTCACGGCAAACTCCGGCAGGCCCTTCTCGACGCTGAACAAAGGCCTCGAGACTCGAGACGGGTGGATACAATGGACTCTGGTGGGAACAAGCGGATTGGGCCAAACAGGGAAGGTTGTGGCGGGATGGAGATGGGTTTGGTATTTGGTATAAGAATCTAGACCAAAACATGTGTCTTGTGCCATGCTGCGCCCAGCTATGAAGATTGAACCAATGGACATGAATCAAGGGACCATCAACCCTAATCAAAATGTCTATGCTGTGCCTGATCTTGGCTTCTTTAAATTACTGTAATACCTGACACATAGTTCGTGTGTTTTGCCAGGATGGGACCCACATATCCAAACTCCAAACGAACAAAAGATCTGTGGAAACATTAAGGATTCTTTATGAGATGACTCTGAAAGGAATCCTGTTCTCCAAGACACCTCATGATGGGATAGAAGACGTTTTGGATCTTGCAATTGCGGCAGAAGGCATCCAGCGCGGCCGTGTAGGACTTGTTCACTCCTAGCCGCTCTCCTGTGAAGAAGACATGAACCTTGCTCCAGTCGACCGCACTGGGTGATAACGCCGACAGAGCAGAGACCACACTGCCTGCAGGAATGCAAAGACTAAAGCCTCGGCGGCTCGCATGGAAGGAGGTCGAAACTTGCTGCACCAAGGCCGCCAGGGCTCAGGCAAAAAAGCAACATCAGCTGTGGAAGAACAGGACGTACAGTAAAAAAAATTGTTTCAACAGGTTGGAGGAAACTTCCCTTCTTGCTTATCGCTTCATTGGCAGCTGCAGTTACTTCGGCCACGAGTTGCTTAGACATAGCGGCATCATCATCAAACACACAAAGTGTCCGGCCATCCGCCAAAGACGTAGACATTGCTACTCGCTGGACCTGTGGCGACCTTCCTAAGCGGTCTGCTTGGTCCAAAAACCAGTTCACATCGACGAATCGAGGTGTTGCAGGTGTGGTGTGCGGAAGGTGTGCTGCGGAACACCCAACATCCAACTGCTCGGCAGCTACTTAGTCGAGACGCGTTCTTCGCACCTCGGATCCTGCCTGGGAGTTTGCCAGGCAAGCAAGTAGCTGCATAATTCCTGTCCTGAGCATCCCGACCCTGGGAGGCACCACCACCACGTTGTCACCATCTTTCAGCAATCCACTCAGCTTGCCGACCTCAGCACAAGTTCAGTCAAGGCCTGCCTCATCACTGTCCGCCATGATCTCTCGACTGTTAGCTTGTTTGTGCCGCTGAAAGAATACCAAGAAGTCTAAATGCAGGTTTACCCAGGTAATCCAGGCTGCTTAACCACCGTAGCAAACCAAAGAACAACATGCTGGCGCATGGAGCTTACTCTCGTGACTTGAAAAGTGAAGGTGACATTTCATGAACATCCCTCAACTTCATGATCGATTTCTGGCGTTGGTTTCTAGCGTATACCCTACCAATCTCATGCAGTATCCTTGGGGCCTTAGGGAATTTCCCCAGTACCCGCGCACCTGCCCACTTGCCGCGCCTTCCCGCCCCCCTTTTTTGCACTGAGGTCAACTAGCTTGGCATTGGCGGATTGGAGAAGCTTACCGCGCTGCTAGAAGGCAAACATTAGTAAACATTTGAGCGGTGTCAAAAACCATCCGGAACTTTTATTATATATATATATATATATAAGATTATAACAACCTGTCGCCCATCCCTTCGCAACGCTTTCACGGCTGCATGTCCTGCTTTCACTGACCCACTTCGACTCCAACCTCTGTTGCTAACCCTTTCGCCGAGTGTCTGCTACTTACTATGGTTCCTTGGAGCACCGCCCATCAGAACCGCTTTGACAGGCTTGGTTTTCGTCACTTGTAATGGCTCCAGTCGAAGCGCAAACACCAAGCAACACGACACAATAACATGTAGCCATGAGAAACTTCAAGTTCAATAAGTAAGTTGCTCATGGCACTCTATGAAGTTTCTCATGGCCCCATGGCTAACTACTTAATTGAAGTTATGGCCATGACACTTCAATTGATTGATACTAATACGCTTCAATGAACAGACTTCTGGAACTCTACCTTTCATTACCTTTCTGAGTTGAGCAAAAGAAGAGTAGAGTGGAATAGAGTGGAGCACTTCGGATACAGTAAGCCTCGCCTTAGCACATCGAATGTGCTAATGCTGCTGAATGATGGGAGCTACTGGCCCGAATTGCGAATCTCTCCTTCTGCTTCAGAGACGTGCTGAACAAATTTCGGGCAGTGGCACCTTCCAAACAGCAGCGGTTCCGAACACTTACATCCACCTGATCTATGTACATTAACCTTGCGAACAGCACCCTGCCACAGCATCTTTGAAGAATCCTTTGATCCTTGAGCTGCAAGGCCGTGCACTCTGACTCTGCTAGGCGCTGCTAGCTCTGAAGAGACAACATCCAAAGGTGTGAAGGACCCATGTTAAATGTTGCCAATCCACTGGTCTTAATTCTGCTTTCAACCAAAGACTGCTCTTCAGGCTCTCCAAATTGGAGTGGCCAAATCGGACCAGCCTTTAAATGTAATTGTATGTGATTGTTGTACTCGGAGCAACAGTAGTCTCTGTTTATCTACAATCATCTTTGATAGAATGGCCGCAGGGCCTTCTATAATCATGTATTTTAATGAGGCCAGCAGCCAACAAGGGGGAAGACCCACTAAGCAACAAAAATGACACTGTGCTGCTGCCAGAATCAATGATCTGCTCCCCGTATGTCAAGAAACACACAAGTCTTGGCAGCACCGCTCAAGTTGGTTGTGGAACTTGAGGTGCATTTACAACCTCCAACTCCAAAGCAAGACGAAGCAAGACCTGCAAGAAACTTTTGGTTGTCTCAGCCGGCTGCATATCATGCACTCTGCAACCTGCCAAAGCTCGGACAGCGAGAACGAGAAGAACGAATGAATTGCCGGATAACTTGTTGTTGGTCGTTTCTAAGCACTCTTATCTACAAATATAATCATATACTGTCTATCTATCCCAGTGGCAATGCCAGAGTAAACGACATGCCAGCTTCTATGCAACTCTGCGCTGCCAATCCCCTACAGTATGCAACCAGCGTTGATTCCAGTCCTCTGCGCCACGACGGACTTCATACAGCCAAGCTGCGCCAGGAGAATTTGAGGTCCATGAGAAAAACCACGAGTTCTGCGCAGGGAAGCAACTCGTCAAGTGGTAGACTCGCTGGGGCTCGAGCTGATGCCTCCGATGGATGAAAAGACCCATGCGGACCCTTTGACTGTGGGTGTTGCTGAAAGGCACCTGACCAAGATCTGTCAAAAGCATCGGGATTCCCATCATGTTCCGTATTTCGAGGAAAATTCCAAACTCTTCCATGAAGGAAAGCCTAGTGCCTAGTGCCTATAGACGTATATATGAATATCTAGTACAACATGAATGTGTGGTAGAATGAGCCATCAGGCTGCAGCTTGGCCAAAATTAATGTGGTTGTCTTGACCCTGGGAGACCCTGGTCTTTCCCACCGAACATGAACCGATTCCTCTCAAAGGGATGTCAACCCACCAGGGTTTGGTGGATTGATGGGTGAGGCTTTGACACACAAAACATCACAAAACACATCAACACACCATGGCCTGCACACTCTTGTGAAGGCCCTCGACAATGAGCAGCCGCCTGGTTCCGCGCATGAAGTTATGGAACCACTTTGCTCTGCAGTTGGTTTCGATGGCCAACTGACACTCCAAACCATCCCACAATGAGTGCCGCCGTTTCGTGGCAAACTGGAGAGGATCCGAGAATCATGTCTGTGTGACTCGTCAAGCCAAGGCATCAAAAAATATCAAAACACAAAATGACATGACCATCCATGACCACAACGACCAATCCTACAAAGGACATCGGTGTCATCGTTCGCATCTCGGTGGGGTTGATCGGTGTCACCACTCCCGTCGCAGCTGCCTGGAGGGTCGCTGCGACGGTGAGCCGGGCAGTTGCGACGCCAAAGAAGCCGCCGCGGCTTCGGCCACGGAGATCAGCGCTGCTTGTGATGCAGCTCTTTGAGCTGCAGCGTTGATCTCTTGCAACAGAAGGCCTCGCATAACTTGGAGGTTTTTTGGGGGACCATCAAGAAGGTTTGTGAAAGGCGGACCCTTCAAACATGTAGACCAAGCCCATGAAGTTGCCCAAAGGGAAAACAACACAGAAGTGCAAGGCTATGCCGGCTATGCGAGGCTGCCTTGCCTGCATTGATGATGACGGTCAGGATTGGTTGAGATCGATGACCATTTTCATGTACTGAAAGCTCAGCAGCAAGGTGTTCGATGCCCCTGTTGCCATTGTCACTGACAAGCCAGGAGACCTTCTCCGTGTTGGCCGGCCGACCGACTCGTACAAAAAGACCTCGACTCACATGCAGTTCAGCCATTCTTCCCGGAACGGAGGATGAAGAAGATCCACCCAACAGTGCTAGGCGTCCCTCATCCTTCACTTGACATGACTCAGTACTCGAGCGAACTCTCACAAGAGCCCCCAAACATTCATGAATTTGAGTGCGCTGGATGAAGGAAATCTGGTTCTGGAAACCATCTGAATGTACATTGAAGTGCTACAATGTGTTACATTTGAGCCTGGGATTCTGGGATGCTGTATGATGCTGTGGAAGAACAACATATTCCAAGCTGTTGGCAACTGAACCCTTTGTCCTACTTAAATCATTCAGCGCATGGTTTGCCACAGGTGAATGACTGAATGACTTTGATGTGCGCTTTGACAAGGCCCAAACTTGTCCTTCATCTGTTGGGCAACAAACTTCTCAAACTCTCGCAGTGAGTGTCCAGTCCGCAAGTCATGCGAGAAGGCTTGAGTCTGCCTGAGATTGCGCGAGCACGATTGCAGCAAAATCTTATGCGAGTCCACTAAAAAAGGGTATCAAACCAAGATAGACCAAGCAAACTGAGGTAAACAGTGGTAAACAATGCCAAGGTACAAGCCAACATGAGAGTTAGATGATGAGACGAAATAAGCTGAGATGCTATGATATGCTATTAACCATAATCTATTATGAATTTTTGTTATTGTATTATATTGTATTAATGGGGCAATAAGACTGGCAATAAGTTCTTCAGCTCAGAATAGACAACAAGTAAAGATGATGCAACGTTGGCCATTTTCCGGCAAGAGTCATTTAATTTGCTCAACAGCATGAAGATGCTTTTGAGCCAATGTTCGCAGGATATTACAAGACGTTGGATATTCTGAGGATAATCTTAATGCAGTGCCGGAACAACATAACGGGACGGTCATGACACGAATCGATGTAAGGCACGGCCCGTCACAGAATGCAGAACGCCAAGGCACAGCTTCCAAGTCATCCAGGCAGAGATGTACTTCAATAAACGAGCTGTCCCTGCTGGATCTCTGCTTTGCAAGACTCCAACCTGAAGAAAGGTCTGGTCGGTCGAACTCAGTAGATTCACACAGGGATTCCGAATGATTCTGATACAGTATCGATTTCGATTCACACGCTTGTGAAACGAAGAGTTTTGATGGGCGGCAGAGTGTATAAGAACCCTCAGGAACCACTGTTTGATCAGAAGACCTCGAAGAAAGTGGCGAGCACCCTGTGACCAGGATGCGCCTTGCTCTCAAGTCAAGCACAACAGGCTAAAATGGGCGTATAACTAGGGAGACCTCGCATTGCGACCCCTGGATCCCCTTTTGCAAAAGATCAAAAGGAACATCGATGAAGATCGATCTCCCTCCAGCCTTGGAGTTGCGAATGATCAGCTGTGCGCAAAAGGCATCTATCTCCTCCCGACCATGGATGGTGTAGACAGATTCTGTG